TTCAGCAGAAGTTTAAGCAGTGTCTTGCATGTGTCCCTAGTCCTACATGGCATCGTGTGCTGTGGCAGCTTTATGACCTGTGCCCTCCTAGAGAGCACCAAGGGACAGTTGTGCTAATATGGAAGAGGCGAGAGGCTGTTCTCAACAGGCAGAATACAGAAGGCTTCCCTGGTTTGGGGAATGGAGGAGAATCTAGCTGGATGAATACCAGTTGTGCTGTGCCACTTGTCCTCAGGCTCAGAAAATGAATTCTGGCATGTTTTAGTTACTAATAGAGGCACAACAGAAAATAGGATTTGGCAGCTTTCCAGCCCCGCATCGTTGCAGCTGCCCATGTTATGCAGTTATTTTCTCAAACATTATTGAATATTATTTCTTTATTTATTTATTTTAAAACATCTTGGGTTTTTTAAACTCTCTTTAAAAATTCAAAAGTTTCTTATGTTCTCCTGGGGAAAAAGAATCTTCAGAAGTTTTATGCATCCTTTTTGGGGGGATTATTGTATAAAACTGAGCAAGACATCTTTTAAAATCTCCCCTCCATCCCTACGTTCTTTGCTCCAGCCGTTTCTGTCAATTGTCAACTTTTCAGACACTTTAGTATTTAACATTCCATTTGCAATACGTATGTCATAAGCCATGTTTCAGTAATTTATTTCAATACTTCAGTTATTTTTTTTTCCGACTAGTCAGACAACAGCAGTTAAAGCATTCTGTTTCTCTCTGCTAGCCTCTGTCACATCTTGTGCAATATAAATGTTCTTTCAGACATGCACGTACACATTTGCTCTGTCTCAGCAAAAATTACTTTCTGTTGGAGCTGTACAATCTAAGGAATAAGGCGTTGTTTTTACTTTGCTTAAGTTTGAACTTCAAGACTGGGTACTTAGCTGAGGTCCCCTTCTAGGCCAGGGATTTGAGGATTTCTTTGCAGTTGAAATTAACATGAATATGTATTTTCTGAAGCAATTTTAAATAATTCTGAGGGGTAAAAAGTTATTTTTGCAATTAATTAAAACTCAATTCTTCATAATTAAAGTTTAAAAAATAATAGTGTAGTTAAAGATTAATAATAAATTATTAAATGTATTTGCATATAAATTGAGTGCTGTTAATGAGACACAAGGAGGTCAGAAATCAAGAAAAATGTGTCATTGAAACTGCTCCACTTAAGCACCCAGCATAGCTTCAGGGATTTTGCAATGGCTGGGGGGATTTTACTATTTTCCTGTGAGAAAACATGGTGATTTTAATATATCATTAATAGAATATACAAAATGTACATGTAAATACTTTGTGCATTGAGATGGGTTGACCTTGGATGGATGGATGGGTGCCCACCAAGCTGGCCTATCGCTCATCTCCTCAGGAGGACAAGGGCTTGTTGTATCCTTGAAGTTGTTTAATGATGACTGTAGAGGGACTGTTGAAGCAGAGGCTGCTGGCCCGTTGGTGGTAGGACCTGGTTTTCTTCTCTCTGTTGGATTTTTTTTGCTTACTTTGGCTTAAATCTTCCTACATTGACACCTTTCAAAGAAGGGATTTTTTTGTGGATCAAGATAACAAACCAAAAACTGCCCATGGAAGTGAAGAAAAAGATAATATTTATCCTCGACTTCTGATCAGCAGATGATGTTCAGCCACTTCCTGGAAAGCAAGGCTTCAGTTCATGTCGTGATTACTCCAGAAGACAATGAGCATAATAACCAATGCTCTCCCCAACTTTCTTTTAGCTTTTATTTCTGACCATTCATCATAAGGTTTGGAATATCCCTCTGGTCACTTTGGGTCAGTTGCCCTGACCCTGGCCCCTCCCAAGATCTTGCCCACTCCCAGCCTACTGGCCTTTGAGCATGGAGGGGATGCTGGGGAGACAGCCTTGGTCTCTGCAGCACTGCTCAGAAGTCACCAAAACACTGGTGTTCTAGCTACAGAGCTTTGTACTGTGAGGACTGCTGTGGGGAAAACTAACTCCATCTTGGCCAGACCCAACACGTTTATCTCTTTCTAGATGTGAGAATGTGTGTGTGTGTGTATAGAAAATGCAGTTTGTCAGAGAGACTCCCAATGGAAAACCAGAATGCTAAGTAGAGGAAACAAGCTCTTGAGCAAAGAATAAAAGTAATCCTTAATTAGATCCTGGTCATCATTTCATAATGTTTAACCGGTTAAGCTTTGAAAACAAAGCTGTGATAGGAATGTGAACTATCTACTAAATCACTTCAGCACTTGATAGAAACAACTTATGCTAATATTTTCTCCATGTAAATTGGAATCTAATGGTGATGTATAGAACTCACTTTCCTATATTTTATCAAAAGAGGGCTAACTGCTTTTTTTTAATCTATGGAAAGTTTATTGTTTGGTTTTGCTTATTTCTCAGGGGAAAATTTCTTGGAGGTTTTGCTGGTGAATGGGGTTTTCGACTTAAAATTGTAATTTATGTGAGTTTGAACTTTCTACGTACATGTAACCGTACAAAAAGAGGGAAAACAGCTGTTAGATTTTATGTTGCGTGGTAAATGAGGAAAGGGAGCTGTAGTATTTATGGCAGTACTGTGGCATTCCAGAGGCTGGGGTTTATTATACTGCAGATGTGGGTTGCTCTCTTCTGAAATTGTGGGTATATGCTTGAATTTGGAGTAATTTTCAGACAGGAAAAATAAATGCTTCATTTTTTTCTTTTTATTTATATCCCATCTGTCTTCTGGATATCTAAATTACCAATGCACAAAGGGGATTTCCTGTGCATTCTGCAGCTTCTTTAGCCCTGGTTCAGTACTTGCCTTCAGGTCCAGTTTTTCAGCTGATAAGCCACTAATTTTCACAGAACTGTAAAAATGTTTTTTTGCTTACAGTCTTACAGAGTGTGCGTGTCAGTATCCCAGCATTTCTCAATTAGTTGAGAGTTTTGTCAGCCTCGTTAAAGGGCTCCTGGAGAAACTGCTGGATTACCGAACCGTGATGAGTGATGAGAGCAAGGACAACCGCATGAGCTGCACCGTCAACTTGCTGGTACGTCCTCGCCTGTAACTCTGGTGTGAGAACGGGGAAGCAGTTTCAAATCCGTTTACTACAGGTGAAGGTAGATCTTCCTGGGGACAGGAGTGGTTGGCAATGCTCAGCAGTGATTTAAGCTTTGACGGAAGATATTTTTTTTTATCTATTTGCACGGATATATACATAAAACCCCCACAATGGTGTCCACTCAGTTCTTTGATTTGGCCTTTATGGCTTATGTTGGATAAATAAGTAGGTATGCTGCTTAAATACCTTTCCCTTTTGACAGGCTTCATGTAACAGTGAGCTTTTGCCAGAATGAAGTTCTCTGTGAGAAACTAACCCATTTGCTTCTTTAGCAACTCATTCATAGCAATTCAGGGTTTTAAATCTGGGCAAGAAACTTGCAAGATACACTTGCCATAAGGTGCTGAAAGTACTTGAATATCTGATGTGGTTCTGGCTATTTTGTGGTGAGGGTACTGCATATAGAGATTCCTCCAGCAGAAATTCCTCTAAGTGGTAGAATAACCTTCATTGCTTTAAAGGCTGGAAAGAGAACGTGGTTAATCTGTATTGCACTCACATACTCCATGGTCTGCAGTAAGCACTGTGCAATGTGGTATAAACTGGTGCAGTTCTGCAGGAGCGTTCGCAGTTCTTTCCACACTTTTTGCACAGGCTTAGCAACTCATATGCCTGCAGAAGTGTTCCGGTTAAAAAAATGGGCTTTATTCCTGGAATTAGGCCCTTACAGGTACTTCACAACATTGTTACATATCAAATTCAGTAAACACCAGCTTCTTTTCTGCCCATCAGGTTTAGCCAGAGCATATATTTTATGACATTTATGGATTTGGATAACCATATTATTCTTTTCTCCAGTGTAAAAACTTTCACTGATGATGTTATTACTGAACTAGAAGAAGTATACACACGTGTGTATAGTAATAACATACTAATAACTAAAATATTTGCTCAAGTAGTATTGCCGAGTTTGAACTTAGACTAGTCTGTAAATAGTTTCTGATGCTGTCCAATAGCAAAAAAAAAGCATATGTATTTTTATCTTGTGTTTTAATAAAAGAAATTAGGAGGTAACTTTTAAATGCTTGTCCCCCCAGAATTTCTACAAGGACATTAACCGTGAAGAGATGTATATCAGGTATGGAAGTTCTGTTGGGTCAGGTTTGGAGAGCACGGTAGTATTCTCTTATGAATTCTGGTTTTATCACTGGACTTGGATTTCTGTTACTTAATGTTAATTAAGTAACATCCACAATGACTCTGTAGTTGTCCTGGCCTCATTTATATTCTCAGTCCACTGTTTCTTTAGCCTTCAGCCATTTGAAATCTATCGTATGTACTCAGCAACAGCATTTTTTTGTCCCAAGAATCAGCTTTTAGTGAATTAAATCACTTGACATTAATTGTCTGTTGGTTTAAATGAAGAAAATGCAGCTAGATTTGAGGTTTGATGGAGGGTGTATCATAAATCTAGAATGGCAGGTAAAAAACATTCAGGTTTTGTATAATTGTGCAGTCTGCCAAGTCTCTTTAAATATGCAACACTACATGCAATGCAGAATTACTAGTAAAGCATTTTTCTCTGAGAGCTATAACTACACTGGCAAATCCTTTCAGATGTGACATGGCCTCTTACTGTCTCCAAGAGTTCTGCCTATGAGCTGCAGCAAATCTTGCTGTTCAAAGGCTCATTATTTCTTGCCTCCTCTCATGCTGCAAAATCTGCAGAAGCAGCCCCATCTCAGCCACTGCAGTACAAAGCCCAGAGTCTCAGCTGAAGGGAGCACTGGAGGTGATTCATAGCTGAACCTGGAGCTAGGAGCTGCAGTGGCTGAGAACATTGCTGAGGGAGACACATTTTCAGTAGGGTTGCCAAGTGGCAGTGGTAATGCCCTGAACTGCCTCAGCAAGGGGTCAGAGCTCTGTGCCTGCACTCCTGTTAAGTGGAAGAGGATGGGATGCGCTTTTTCTTTCTGGTTGCTGGAAAAGGTGTGGCTGGAGTCACATGATGGGCAGTGGCTGTGCTGATGGCAGCAGTGCTGCCCTAGGGATCAAGGTAACTCAGAACAACACTTCTACCCCTACTATCTTCTGAGCTGTACAGGGACTTGCATTATATTTCTTTGCTGATATCTTCTGTTTTCTCCTTTACCTCGTGTTATCTGTTGTGCTTGCATCTATTTAAGTGGGAAGTGTTTACATGCAATCAAAAAAATGCTACAAAGAAAGGCAGGGATCCTTAGTAGCAGAAATAAGGGGCTCAGAGGTCTGAGTTAGACCTGCTGTCTGGTCATTCTTTCTCCTCCTCCTGGAGGTGGAGCTGACAGCATTTGAGAGGAGGAGGTTAGCTCTTCCTCCTCCATTTGTGCACAGCTTCGGCATACAAAGGGAACACACGGAAGTCTGAACAAACAGGCAGAGCTTTAACCCCTCTCAGCATCCTCAGGGATGCCTTGGGTAGTGGCTGCATGACATCTATGGAATTCTCATTATGGACTTTATCTAGAACTTTTTTGACACATATCCCAGTGATGTCACTATCTGGTCTAATTCTTGTTCTCTTCTCTAACAGATATTTATATAAACTGCGAGATCTTCATTTAGATTGTGAGAATTACACTGAAGCAGCATACACCCTTCTACTCCACACATGGCTCTTGAAGGTTAGATTTTCTAAACTCAATGTATAAGCTTTTGCAATTTTAAATTTGTAATTTAAATATGACTGTCTTAATCTCAGATTGCTGAGATTCCATAGGAGTGGAGTTTCTAGTTAAAAGTACTGCAGTAGGTCATACAAAATGGACATTAATTGCTGAAACTATAGGTGACTAAAAGCCATATATTGGTAAAACTAAATACTTTAGCAAAACCAGTTTTATTTTCTAGTGATAACATAGGGTGCAAGTTCTGAAGGCATTTAACTTCCATGTGATTTTCACTTTGCTAATTTCTTTCTATTCGAAACATAACAAGGATAAAAATTAAATACAAATTTTTCCACCTATCACGGGGGGACACCTGACTTTACATTTTAAATAATATGGATCACTCTGGCAAATTATGCTTTTTTTTTGCTACAACTGATGTTTATTCTCATTATAACCGATGTTATCAATAGAAATGGTCAGTAAGATGCATTTCCATTTCAAAGGACAATTCAAAATTTAGATCTTCTTCAGCAAAATTTGAGATTTCTCATGGACTTTAAATTGGACTTTTCACAGTACTATTTGGCTTAGACTTAATTTTGATTTCTCAGATGGTACAAAAATATGAGGTATATTGTTATGTATTGATAGACACAAAGATAATATTATATGCAAATATCTGAATAAGAAAAAAAGTCAAAACTGAATCAGTCAAGATGAAATCACTGAAATAAGATTAATTTTCTTGTTTAGATTTTTATCCAGATTTTTTGGGTGAGGGGCAGGAAGGAAAACAGATTTTTCAAATATTGTCTAGTCCCGGTTCTTGTGTGAAGTACAGCACTTGTTTGAAGAGGTTACAAAAACATTCCCTGTGCCTTTCCCAGCAGCTTTGTGTAAGGGTGACAAAAACCTTGGGGAAAAAAACACTTAGAGGGGACCAGACCTCCGGGGTGGGATACATGTGTGTGAAAAGTTGAACTCCAAAATCATATGGTTTTTTTAACGTGTTTTTATTCTCAGTGGTCAGATGAACAGTGTGCACCTCAAGTCATGTCAACTGAGTTCCAGTGTTCACAGACTTACCGACACTTGAAAGAGAATTTGTACGAGAAGATCATAGAATACTTTGACAAGGGAAAGGTAGGTCTGTAGAGTTCTTCCCGTTGCCAAATCTCTGTCTGCTGTGCTGCTCTGTGTAGTGCTTAATGAATATTCTCTGTATAAAACATTTGTGTAGGAAATCCTCTTTCAAATGTGGGTCAGGTAAAAATTGTATCCTGAAAGGCTTATTCACAAGGTATATCTGTTCTATATAAACACAATTTTTCAATTACTACATTCACAATGAACGAGGACTAATGTTTATACTGGCCACAAGCATCTCTGCCAGACAGTAATAAAAATAATAATGTTGAATGTACTTTGCTTTACTAGGAAAGGAGTGCAGACAACACAGATCACACACCTCAACCATTTGGTTGTCGTATCTGGAAAAAACAGATGGTTCAAAGTGGAGGTATTTGTTTCAGAGAAGTCTGAGAACTGAATCCTAAACTTAAAATGTAGTAGTTTGATGTTCAGTACCTGAGCCTAGTTCAAGTTTTTTTAAATAAAAAAAATAATCTGTTACTAAAATTCCTTGTCAATACAATGACAGTAGAGCTGAGATGTTTGGAAATAAAGCAAAGAACTGGAAAGCAAGGAAAAATTCGGCACTGCTGGGTAATGAACCTTATGACCCACTAAGGCCTTTAAGTCTTTATATGTTGTTCATCTCTAGCCAGAGGTGTGAAAGGGGAAGGCAATTTATTATTACTTCTTGGAAAATAAAGGTGTAGCTCCCCTATGAAAGTCCTTCCTCTAATTCAGTAGGTAGAAAGTGTTTGGTGCTCTGGCACAGGAAAATGCAGTGCTAGTCATGATGTCTGAGTTGGTTGGTGTTTGGTTTGGTTTGGTATTATTTTTCCCTGACATCTGAAATAACTACAGTGCAGCAGTCCCCACCCACTGTATCAGAATTATCAAATCCTCATGATTTCTGATGTCCCTGGCATTCAGGTGCTCCTTGGATAGACCAGAGGAGGTTTGCAGGGAGCAGAATGCAGCTGTCAGGTTCAGAACTACCTAGCCTAGGAGGCTGTGGCACTGTGTAAGGGTGGTCATAATGCATGTGGCCACCAGTGGTGTTACATCAGTTAGAGAATTATGCTCAGAAACTCCCTTTTGTCTCCTTTATTCTGAAGAGCTGAGCAAACTGACAGAATTTGAGAAATATCCTCATGAGAGGGAGTTTCTAGCTGATTTAAGACTACTGTTGTGCTGCATACATTAAGTGTCTATACCAGATGAAAAAACCTGTCCAAGTCTTTGCAATGCAGCCCTGTAATGCCTCACAGTAATTTCCAGAGGTAGCTATTAAGTTGTGTGGAAAGAAACAAGCTGCTACTCAGGGCACATGCCAATTTAAGTGGAAGCCTTGTAATTTTTTAGCTGACTGGGACATATGCCATATGTGAGGCTGCCTATGCTGATGTATGTTTTAGGAGTCCTTGGAAAATGAAATATGTTTGTTTTAGAGAGGCAGGTGTCAGTCCCCTCCTACACTGCTCCTATGCTAGGGCTGTGTTCTGGATGTTATGCACCATAGTGATTTACTTCTTTTCTTTACTATATCTCAAATGTTAGGTGATTTTTTTTACTATTGCAAGAATAAACTAGGTTTACTTATTCCTTCCTATAATGAACCATAAAACACTTTTATTTTTTACATTAATCTGTTTTCCTAAAGTTTATGATTGTCTTGAGCCTTCCATTCTAAATGTGCAGTTAATAAATGACTGCAATGTAAAGACAGCATAATCAATAAAACTGTAGTTAAACAGTGATGCATCAAAACCTTGTTTGTTGCTACTGGATTTACTTTTTGAGTGAGTGTTTGCATTGCAGATGTGGGAAGAAGCCATATCTTTATGCAAAGAACTTGCAGAGCAGTATGAAAAAGAAGTTTTTGACTATGAACTTCTAAGTCAAAACCTGGTAAGATTATGTACAGATCTTCAAATTATTTTAGTCACAGAAATGAGTCTTTTTGGGCTATCAAATGGTAGAGCTGCTTATAAGCTTGTTGTCTACAGTTTATTTTTAACCAATTTGTCATAGAGCTGCCGTGTTGTATTGTAACATTCCAGTGGTAAAGCAGAGATTCCTAAAGAACTGCTTGTTAAAGTTGCATGGACATGTGCTTACTGAGTTCTTTTGAAGCTTCTACAGAAATGATAAATATGATCTGAGTTGGCACAATTTAAAGACCACGTATAAAAGAAATATAACAAGCTTTTGAGGCCTTTGTGCTTCTCTAGGGTAGAAAAAGCATCTGGATGGATTTCTCCCCTCCCCCCTCCCCGACATTTGTCTTTAACTTTTAGGAACTCAGATCCTTACAAACCTAAAGAATTCTATCCTAGCCATGCACTGGGGAAGTAATACATCACAAGGAATTAGAACTAAGTCCAAAGGTTAGAAAGATTTTAAAGGAAAATGTTCCTTTTAAGAAATGTTTAATTATTTCTTTTATATCCTTTAATAAATGTTCAATTATTTCTTTTCACTAAAATCGAATTAATCCAAAGAGAACCCACTCCCCTATATACTGTCTTTATTTCTACCTCCAAGATTCTACACTAGCAGGATCTTTAACAAATGTTTAGGGTTTATTATCAGTGATTATTACTACAGCTTGCCAGCTGATAATTCATAGTGCTTGCATGTCCACTGATAGCTGTAGTATATAGCATAGTATTACTGCAGAGGTTAAAAAATAAATAAACCCAAACCAGAAGTAATTTCAGTTGGTTTTGCTTTCAGATTCAACAAGCAAAGTTCTATGAAAACATCATGAAAATTCTGAGACCTAAACCAGACTATTTTGCTGTTGGATATTATGGCCAAGGGTTCCCCACATTTCTGAGGGTAAAACTATTTAATATCTTTTATTTCATCTATTTGCATATACTTCTAGACATATGACTGTACTCCACTAGTGCAAGTGACTCTATTTGCCATGGATTTAGTTTTGCTTGGATGCAGGACTGTAGTCAGAATCTTAGTTGTTACTTGTATGAGATGTTTACAGATGTGTTTAAGTTGACTCTTTCTTGGTTTTGTTGTGGAAACTAGAAGATGTATCAGGTAGTGAAGTTGATATATGAGGGCCAAATGCAGCAATATGATGTAATTTGGTATGGGCAGCTCTTATGGTACATATTTATCAGATAAGACCACACACAGGTTATTGAGAACTAGTAGAAAATCCTTAACTAATTTGTGTTCAAATTGAATCCAAAATACTGTTTCACATGAGCTTGGTATTTTTAAGTGTACCTTGTAATGTACGTACAAGAGGTTTAGATTTCTGTTGCCTCTCAGCTACAACTGAAATACATTATGAATGTAGAAACAGCATTTTTTTCAGATCAATGTACTCTATAGCCCAGTATTGCGTCTTTAACAGTGGGAAATAGTAGACAGGTAAGGTAGGGAAGGGTATAATATAAAGTAGGTGTTAAGTGACACTGACCTGGTATATATTCCCTAATGATCTGATAAACAGCCTCCTGGGCTGGAGGTGATACTTTCGTTTTCTAGCCCTTCGAGGACTGTTCTACAATGACTTTGTCTGGTTGCTTTCTGAACTGATGCCCTCCAGAACATACTGTGGCCTCACAATACACAACTGTGTGTTGGAGATTTACTGTTGCCCTTTGTTGTCACCTGACAGTTTGTCTACACTAGTTATTTTGGAAAGACTGAACAGTGCTTCTTTAATCACCTTCTTCATGCCTTTTGTGACATACTGTTTTCTTACAGTCTTGGTTTATTTAAACAAGCAACCATTCCCTGCCTATGGCAGGAGTGTTGGAACTAGATGATTTTTCAGGTCCTTTCCAAGCCAAACCATTCTGTATGTTTTGATGTCCTTGTTCCATTGCTGTCCATTTTCTAGTTTATGAGATGGTAGGACAAGAAGTGCACATAGTATTTGAAATGTGGATACTCTATGAGTTTGTTCAGTGAGATACTAAGGTTTCTCCTTTTGTTTTCCTGTTAGACCGAATTATAAATGAGGACATTTCATAATAACGAGGAGAATGAGGAGGCAGAGGAAACCTAGTGCTGGTATTAGGAAGCTGTGAAACCTGGAACCAGAAAGTGTTTGAAAGCAAAAGCTTTCACTTGACAGACAAGGAGAAAAGGAATTTCAATCCTTTTCTTACCTCCCATTCAGATTTGATGCTGCTCTACAGTAGTATCCCCAGTGACGCTGCCAGTTTACCTTTATTTTGTCCAACAGCGTGAAGTTTCATCTCTGGAGAGCCACTTGTGCATGCCTGCACCTGGTCAAAGGGGTGCCTTGTTTTACAGATAGTTAATATTCAGAAAGCAATAGCGCTCCAAAATTTGGAGACCTTGTTGCTTCCTTGTATTGATAAACACATATCTATAACTTCTGCCTCAGCATCATACAGCCCAAGAAACCCCCTGTGTATTCCTTGCAGAACAAAGTGTTCATCTATCGTGGGAAGGAATATGAGAGGAGGGAGGATTTCCAGGCCCAGCTGATGAGTCAGTTCCCCAGCGCAGAGAAGATGAACACCACCTCAGCACCTGGAGAGGATGTGAAAAACTCTCCTGGGCAGTGTATCCTTCAACACGTGGGAGGTGAAAGAACAAAGGCTAGCTGAAGAAACATTGTTAGCAGGAGTTTTTCTGTGTGAAACTGTCATATCCTAAAAAGGGTAAAACTTTATTAATGTGACAAATCAGTCTGCAGTTTTACTTATGTCCTACATGTCTTTTATACTTTATTCCTGAAATGTTTGCTCCTGTCTTTATCACATTTCTAAGGAGTCTGTCTCAGTCATCGTAGAATCATTTAGGCTGGAAAAGATCCTTAAACCATAAATCTGGTCCACCACTTAATTTCTTCAATGGCAAAACCAGTGCTGAACTCCTGACTTGGCCAAGTTTAAAGCAGCAAATTGTCTGTTATCTCACATTCCTAGCTGTTGTGGTTTTGATACAAAATTTGTGTCTTCCTTGAATATTGTTCTGACTGGCACTGCACTTAGGCATCACCTGTATTTCTTGGCAATATAAATACATCTTATGTAACTGTCAGAAATTTTCCTAGGAAAAATAACTCAAAAACATTGTTAATCACCTTTTAGAATGTCCTAAATTATTGTTATTTACAAGTACTCTTAACAGTTGCTTGCACTCATGAACTTTTTCTTCATGTTCTGCTTCAGATCACTAGCTGAGTAGATATAGGACCACCTCATTGTACCAGACTGATTTTTTTTTTTTTTTTTAATGTATTGATTTTCCTTTATTAATTTCCAAGGTAATGTAACACTCACATGCTCTCCTGAGAGGAAGTCTATTCTGATGGAACTTGACAGAGGAGAAAAGGAATACTGCTTTTTTTCCACACTGTTGGGACTGAAGCAGAGAGTATTACAGGCTTGTCTAAAATAGTACACTAAGCTTGAGAGACTAGCTCTCATAAATCTGTCTTGTGTCTAAACTAATCTTTTTTTTTTTTTGAGATGATATGCTTCAGTCCTCTCTTAAAGCAGAATTTGCTCAAGTCTATTTGCAACTAACAGGAGTTGCACTACTTACACACTTAAGACCCTGGAATGGGTTGCCCAGGGAGGTGGTTGAGGCCCCATCCCTGGGGGTCTTTAAGGCCAGGCTGGATGAGGCTCTGGGCAGCCTGATCTAGTGGGAGGTGTCCCTGCTCATGGCAGAGGGGTTGGAACTGGGTGACCCTTGTGGTCCCTTCCAACCCTGACAGATTCTGATCTGTTTTAGCAGAGGACTTTAGAGCCCTAATGGCTCAATGGTTGGACTTGATGATCTTGGAGGTCCCTTCCAACCTAAAGGATTCTATGATTCTAAGACAAAGCTACAGGATCTAAGCAGAAGGCATGAGTTTCAAATATACTGAAATATGTAATAATATGATATATTTACCTACAAATACAGTATTCAGGTTAAAAAGTAACACTTCCATAGAAAAAGGAAATTTCAGGTAAAAAGGGCTGCCCAATTACAGGTTTCAAAGATGAAATGCAAAACATCATGGCATTGTGCAGGCCTAAAGCTAAATAGTAAAACTGTTAATATCAGATGTTAATGTTATTTCTGTAAGTTGGCTTCACTTTAAAATTTAATGAATTCAGTTACAGATTTTCGAGCTCAGTCAATAATAAAAATATGCAGTTCAAAATTAATATTAAAATGGTGACTGCTGGTTTGGCCAAGAAAGCTCCACAAATGAAACCCCAAAGCCTGTAGATTTTTCATCAGGAAATGTCTTTTTTAGTGTGTTGGATTTTTTTTTTTCTTTATTTTATTTATTTCTCCCACAGCCTAGAGTATTTCATACTGATAGTTAATGATGTGCCCTTAACTTTCACAAATTCAGATATCCAGTGTTTTACAGTGCAACCAGTCCTTGAGGAGCAACCTAGATTCAAAAATAAGGCAGTGCCTGACCAGATTATAAAGTAAGTGTATTTCTGTGATGGATAATACAATGCAAGTCAGTCCATAATCCTAAACTGACAACTGTTATTTTGTCAATTCAGTTACTTGCCAGTGAATCTGAGCTTCTGTTGTCTTAGTTTACTGACGTATGTATTCCCTAGGAATTTAATGAAAGAACACCTACCCATTTTCCACTTAAGAAACAGCATATGGTTACAGGGTAGGGAGGCAAAATCCATGCTTTTGGATGGACAGCCAAATGCACCATCAGTTAAGGCTAGCCATATTTTCTCCCTATTCTAGTCAGTCCCTTGTGAAAGCAGGAGGTATGACTGCATCTCCCTAATTGAAGCTGCTTAAAACAGGCATCTTGAGGTAAAATTTCTCCAGGCAAACTGCAGCACCTGCAAGCAAGGCTTTGCAATGTCTCCACACTTAAACAAAGAGACTTAAAGATGGCTGAAAAGTGGCTTCTTTTTATCAGCTGAGTTCATTTCTCACTGTTCCACTGCTTGATTTAAACTAGATGTTACCTTTATCTGCAGCCTTCTCTGTAGACTCTTTACTGAAATTGCAATTGATTCAGAGTGGAAAAATAAGAATCACCTAATCACCTCCCCAAAAACACCAGAATAAATAAAGCCGATACAAGTGCAGTTCTTATACTACAAGACGTAAAACCCTCCCCTCTCCCTCCCCCCCCAAAAAAAAAAAAACAACAAAAAACAAAAGAAAAGCAAAACAACAACAACTAAACCTGTGCTCCCAATTTCAACTTGAATTCATTTTAAAGTTGGCAACTGAAAGAAAGCTTATAAATCACAGAATCATAGAAGGCTTTGAGTTGGAAAGGACCTCAGAAGGTTGCCTATTCCAATCCACCTGCAGTAAGCAGGGAAACCCCCAACTAGATCAGGCTGCTCAGAGTCCCATCAAGCCTGACCTTGAATGTCTCTAGGGATATGTTCTGGTCCTCAACTAGATTTCAGTGTAGTGCCAGCTGTGTTTTCAACTTGTAACAATTTTATTTAGTGAAAGGCTCCCCATGAAGTACCCTCTTGTCATATGGGAGATTTTGTAGTTGTCTCAGATGCAGAATTGAACCAAACTGCCAATTTCATCTGTTTTCATGAGATGTATTTTTATGAGTGCACTTCACTGGGCATTTAATTGCTACATTAGTTGATCGCAATGCATTTATCCTATCAAAGAGCTTAAAAAAAGATCTGTCCTTTCAGGTGGAACTGTATGAAGTGACATGACTTGGTATAGCAATACTTTCTACTTGATTTTCTGTATTGGTGAAGTAGTGGTTTGGATCAGAAATCATACAGTCCTATGAACTAAAACACCAGAAGTTTGTTTGGCTCAGCTGTTGGGATCTCTATTTATTTGTCTATCCAGGCTTCCAAAATGTGGCTCTGTGACCATATTTCTGGGATTTTTTTTTTATACAGTAAATTAATGTTTACTTACCATGGCTTTAAATATCATTAATAATTAAACCAATAACTAAAAAACAAAAGGAAAGATTTTGCTGCTGACAGCATAATACTTAACCAAAACTGTGCAATCTCTATTCTTTCAAATAAACCAGTGCTAAAAGCTAAGTGGCTACCAGTTTAGTGGAAATATGTGCTCACAGTGTTAGAGAATGATTCATGAGCTAAATAGAATAGAGCCTAACACTAATTTGCAATGCATTTCTTTACATTGATGGTCGCCCTCTTCAAGTGTTTATATACATTAATTTATCTATCATGAGAAATTATTAGGGGCTTCCAATGTTGAGTTTATCAGATACCTGTTGTTCTGCATTGTGAGTAGAATTGTTAGAGATGATTAAACTGATTTGGTATGTGCTGTGGATGAAAAAACCTAAGTAATTCGATTCAGGTGAATATATCTGCTCTGTTCAGTCAATTCTTTTTAACAAAATATACTCATTTTATGAGCCATTATAAAGCTGACAAGCAGTGTGCATGCCACAGCAAGAATAAAGTAAAATCTTTTAGTAAAAATCTTTTTCTAGAAAAAGTTTTCTAAAAACTAAAAAAAAAAGTTTCTTTTTCTAGTTCTGGAAAATTTTATACCTTGAAATTACACCCAGTTACAGGCTGGAGCTTAATACTTGTAAAAGGCTCTGTGTTGACTCTGATTTGTAGGAAAAGTAGCCGTCTCCTGGGTTTGCAGTAAAGTGCTTCAGAAAACCGAGCAGTAAATTTGCTTTAATTAAAAACTCAACAGACTCAAAAAATTTCACTGTGATAAATTCCATGCATTTCTGAAATCTGTGTTTTACAATAGCCTTTTTTAAATCTTTCAGTTTTTATAAGTCGAACAATGTGCACCGGTTCCACTATTCAAGACCAGTCAGGAAAGGATCTGTTGACCCTGAAAATGAATTTGCTGTAAGTAAATGATAGGGTGATTGATGTAGTTCTAGTAGTTGTGAGTGACTTCTGATCTCTATCCTTTCTCAGTCTCAGATGACTCATTACAGACATGATAACTTTAGGATCCAGTTAAAAAAAAAAATAAACACAAGATTTCTCTATTTCAGCACTAGTCCCATGTGCATAATTCACACATCCATTTCATCTGCAGGTAGCATGTAGTTAAAGGTGTTCAATACACTTGTGTTCAGCAGTAACATTTTCTGGTACAGATTTTCATTATGAAACAAGGAGACATGTAAATAAATATCAACTGGTTTGCCTCTTGTACTGTACAACAGTTTTGTCAACTGCCAGCTTGGCAACGAGAGGTGTGTGTTCTCTGCTTTCATCAGTCCTGTGAAATCTTGACAGACTAGAGAACTACCTATGTCATTTTTATTCCCACACACGATGGTGTAATGCTGAGAAATAGTTCTTATTGTTCAACTCTTCTAAGAAATCTGCAATGTCATGAACTATTTTTCAGTGTCATGCATAAAAATGTGCTATATATCTATAATTTAACTTTACAGACGTTGATATTTTGCAGTTCGTTGTGAAAAACATATCAGCCAGGCTTTATGGCTAAAGCTATGCTCTCGGGATACTGAGGGGAAGAGCCATTTATTTAGAAATTGCACAGTTTCAGTTGTGTGAGTGCTGATCAGTAGTGCCAGCAGGAGCTTCTCACATGCTGTTAAATTAAATGCTTTAGACTCTTGCCTGACCATGACATCCCAGCTTTGAACCGGGGGATCAAGATTCTTGATGTATGTGGGCTTCCTTTGCACACTGGAGAGTCTCAAAACCATTTATAAATATAACTTGAAAAGTTTTATACAGATTAAGTCCATGTTTTCATTGCTGATGACAACAGATAAAATGAACGCTTACTTGGGATGAGTGGAAATTGGAATATTGGGAGCATGTCTCTGCTGAGTTCATTACTACGTTTCCCAGTATTAGCGGTTTAGATGAGCTGATATTGGTAAAATAAAGAGCAGGTAGAGCAAATGAACTAGTGGCATTTTAAAATACCAGCAGCTAGTCTTTTTCAGAAGAGGAAAAAGAGAGGGAGGGGGAAAAAAATACCGGTAAGTTGTTATAGGTGTTACTGCTTTTAGTTGCAGAAACACATTGCAAAAGGGAGGGAGGAAGTATAATCTGAGTAGAGGTGAGAGGAGGTCATCTAGTCAGTCATTCCATCTGTAATGGTAAAAATAGGAATAGATACTAAAAGATTCAAGGGTAATATTCTTTTTCCTCTGCTTTATGCAGGTTTAGTGCCTGAAGATGACTTAATCTGAAATCAGAAAAATGATTTGTGCAAATTGCTGTGCTAGATTGATTTCGTAGTGTCCTTTTTTGCAAAAATGTGCATGTGTCTTCCATCTACATACTTTTCACTCTGACATTTCAGAACGCAGAAAAGATTAAAGTTTAAATCTTGAAGCATAATTTTCTCCCTGCCTTGATTTTTTCTAATAGTCTATGTGGATCGAGAGAACATCCTTTGTTACAGCATACAAACTTCCTGGAATTTTACGATGGTTTGAGGTTGTATCCATGTCACAGGTGGGTGTTAACATGCTAAGAACCCATAAAACATGTATCTTTATGATTCTTCATGTCCAAAATAGTTTGCATATTTATCACACAAGGCTATTTTTATTTACTTATTTTTATACGTACAAAACTGTTAATACTTACGATTTATCTTTTTACTGCTGGGATCAATATATCTTTACATTTGTTTTATAGTTCCAGGACCAAGTCCTAAGAGAACTGAACAAATTTTTGGTAGTTTGCTATATTATAAGAGTTTTTTTTCCTATAGGTGAAGTTTTATAAAATGAGAAATACCTTTTATCTCTTTATAAACCTTAGAAGTCTTCTGTTTCTTTATAGACTACAATTAGTCCTTTAGAGAATGCTATTGAGACTATGTCAACAACAAATGAAAAAATTCTGATGATGATTAACCAGTACCAGAGTGATGAGAACCTTCCTATTAATCCGCTTTCTATGCTCCTGAATGGAATTGTTGATCCAGCTGTTATGGGTGGCTTTGCTAAATATGAGAAGGTAAGAGCTTTCAAGTCAATACAAAGAACATATTCATATGTATTATTTCATAATCTTCCTATATTCTTTGTTCCAAGTGGCACTGGAACATAGGCTTGGGAATGTGAAAGCCATAACTCTACCCATTAAGAGATTATTAATTATTAATGTTTTGGATGAAAATGAATGTGGGGTTACCCCACAGCTGTAGAGCTCTATTCTACCTGCCATTTCCTGATGAAAAACACGTGCCATGCTCAGCAAGCCCAGCATGTCAGAGAGACTTGGATAGTGCTGAAGAGATGCCATATATATACATATAAAATATGTATATATCTCTATACAACATGTGGTATGCATGACATATTCTGGAGGAGTATGTTACACTATGTTAGTCCTGATGCACCATTTGCTTAGGTATTGGGCAATAATGGATAAGTAGCTACATTCTTCAGTTGTACCTGGGGGACAAAATCTTTGAACAGTACAAGGCCATGTGTCTGCAGTATCTGGCCCTGCCTACCTAGGGAAGATTTCTGTTATGTGTAACACCAGCTATTGTCAGTAGGTAGGGTACTTGAATAAAGTGATCATTTATCACTGTAAATCATGATAACTCCAAATCTGTGCCTTTTTTGATTCAGCACAAGCTTAATAAACAATCATTTGGTTTCATAGGAAGGGTCTCCAACTCTGAAGTATTGGATGAAGACTGAAGACCTTTTAAACAAAAAAAAGCACCTCAGTTCTCAACTGATGTGTTAGGGGAATATCACTAGCAGAAGCTGGTTAAGGAGCATGTGTATGTCTCTCTTATTTGAAGACCAATATTATGGTCACCATCTGGAGTCAGTGGAGGAATCACTGATTTCTTTACCTGTCAAAATGATGAACTGTATTTTTTTTTTTTTTTTTTTTTTTTTTGTTTTTGTGTGAACTGTTTTTTTTTTTTTTTTTTTTTTTGTTTTTTTTTTTTTTTTGTTGTCTAAGGCTTTCTTTACAGAAGAATATATCAGAGACCATCCAGAGGATCAAGAAAAGCTGAATAGACTCAAAGATCTAATTGCTTGGCAGGTAACTTCTTTTTGACAGCAGCCATCCAAGGCTTCATCAGCTATTCCTTCTTCTGTTTAGCAAGAGAACACAGACTTCAGAAGATTGTCTTATTTACTTTTTTCTTGTTGTGTGGTGGGTAATTTGTTTGTTTGTTTGTTTTATTTTTGTTTTCAAAAGTTTCTCCAAAGCAGGGAGGTGTAGAAGGAGGAAAATACTCCTGTTACAAACTTTCCGCCTAGTTCTGTGATGAATTCTGAGATGAATTCAGGCCTTTCAGTACTTAAAGGGTGCTTATAAGAATGATGGGGACAAACTTTTTAGCAGAGTCTGTTGTGAAAGGACAAAGCATCATGGTTTTAAACTGAAAGAAGAGATTTAGACTAGATCTAAGGAAGAAATTTTTTACACTGAGCATGGTGAAACACTGACGCAGATTGCCTAGAGAGGTGGTTGATACCCCATCCCTGGAACCATTCCAGATAACGTTGGCTGGGTCTCTGAGCAACCTGCTCTAGTTGCAGATGTCCCTGCTCCCTGCAGGAAGGTTCAACTAAATGGCCTTTAAAGGTCACTTCCAACCCAAACAATTCTGTGATTCTGTCTTTGTTTCATAGATGAGAAACATCAACAATTAACCATTTATTTTTCCCTCAGCCATTAAATTAATCTTCCAAATAGTTTTAATGGATTTTTTGCACTATTTTCTTAATGGTTTTGAAGTTTCTTCCTGTTTCTCTTAAATGCATCTCAGACCGGTTATTAGTTTGAGTCATCAAACTTTACTGCTTACTGTCCTGTATCTTTGTCCATTGCAGGCTCTATAGATGGTTACTTTCAGACCATCAGAAGTAGTCAGTGGCTGTAGTGGTATAAATTGACCGTAATACCATCTGGCATTAGGAAATAAAGTGGTAATTTATATCTATCCCTCTAAACCCTGCTAAAGAGGATAAACAGATCTATCTGTAATAAGTGGGCTTTAATACCATGTTTTTAAAAGCTATATGGAAATTGACCTTCTATAAGATATGATCTGGTCAACGGAGGGGCAGATGTACACAATAATAATATTTATAAGGTCAGAACACAAAAAGGAAGTGTGGAATCTAAACAGACTTTAGAAAAAAACTCCCCAAACATTAATGCAGAATAGCTAAAAGTCAGAGCTGAAACAGTTAAAGCAGGCTACTGGCAGAAGGGTGGCTAAGAGTATGTTGCACAAATCTCGTGAATTGCTATCCTGAAACACTGAAGAGTAATGAAATGTTGTTATATACAAAGTTTGTCTTTGTGGATAAGTTTATTATTAATTAAACAGCATATCAAAGTGTGCTGTCCATTATCTTTGAAGATAAGATTTGTTTTGTTTGCTTTGAACTGGATATTATTACACTAATATAACAGCAAAAATGATAGTAGCAATATAATAGCAAAGGAAAGCATTGTAGGGAAGAGGGGTTAGAAAGGTAGAATTGCTGTAATATTTGCTTCACTATAAGATTCTTTTTTTTCTTAATTTGGTAAGCAAGCCATTCCTTCTGACAAAGATGTATTTTTTTTTCTTATACATTTGATGTGAAGGGAGATATTGCATGAATGGACAGCCCTTTTCCTAACCTTTTTCTCAGTTTTCCTCCTTTAAGGGAGTAAGTATCTACACTTCCCCACTCCCAGGTTTTAAAATCCACTGTTATGTGGGTTGTTATTCTTCCAAATCTTGTGGGAAGAATAAGGAAACTTAACCGCTTTGGTGTACTTGCAACTGCCCCCAGCCTAAAGAATGAGTAGCAAAAAAGAGAAGCACAGGAGTGAAATTGAGCTAAGTCAGCCTGGTTAGTGCAGGCTTCATGGCTTGGGTTGTTCATTTTTGTATTGAAGCATTATCTTACTGATTTTTTCTTGAGATGTGGGAGTGCAGAGGAAGTCTGATGACTAAAATCGAGGAGAAAGGAAGAGGGAACCTTCAGTAACCAGGCAATAACATACTAAGTGGCTACTGGAATTGTCAGAGTGATCACATGATTAAGCCCCCGGTACATTGATTTAAATCTTTGCCAGTCACTTAATCCTCTACTTGAAACCACCTGCCTAAAATCCACTTTGATATTTTTTCATCCCTCTCTTCTCTGTAAACTATGGCAGGCACCTTCATAAGCAGGTGGACTAGTAGTCTAAGAATTTTTTTAACTCTCGCATGGTGTGTATAATCTCCTAAGGGATTAATATTAAAATACATAAAAGAGAGAAACAGTCACAACAGGGCAGCTAACATTCTTCAAAGATTTACTGCGCAAGCTCATTTTTCATGGGCCCTTTCCATCTTGTACTTGCTGCTAAAAGCTGAGGTCAACAGACAAATCTATCTGCCAATCACAGTAAGAGATTTGGAATTGATTTAGTGCATATTTTAAATGCAGTTAGAGGGGTTGTCAGACCCAGTTTAATATTATAACTTTTTCATCTTTTTTTTTTTTTTCTCCTCTTCAAGATACCTTTCCTTGGGGCTGGAATTAGAATTCATGAAAGAAGAGTTTCTGACAATCTTCGGCCTTTCCATGACCGTATGGAGGAATGTTTCAAGCATTTAAAAGTTAAAGTGGAAAAACAATATGGAGCCAGAGAATTGGTACTGCCCTCTTTCTAACCTCTTCTGCACTTTTTCTTTAACTAACACACATCTTGTTCTCCTAAATGATAACACATACTAAACTTTTGTTACTTGTAGGTTTCCTTGTTACCTGTGGTTATTAAGATCTGAGTTGTATAGTCAGAGAGTTGATTCAATCCTCAGACATATAAAATATTCTCATTCTGAAAGATTTGGAGTATTTTATTATGTCCACTAAAATTGGAATTCTTTTCTTTCTTATTAAGGAAGTAAAATAAAGTTCTTTGTAATTTTTTTAGTGGTTTAGGGCTTTGATCTCCAATGGATGTTTCGCTGTGCTAGCCACTTCCAGCTGTGTTGTGACGTAAAACCTATCATGTGTATAATACCATAAGTGCTAGTTGAGGCCGAACTGAAATATATGGGAATTGAAGGATAACTTAAAACCACAAACTCTCCAGACAATTCTAGAATAAAATAGTCTATCTGAGCTTGTGCAGTCTAACAAGAATGAAGTTGGCTGGTTTTTGTGATTAAACACCAGTTGCTTTGGTAATTATTATATGTCATTGCTTGCAGTGTTGATGACTTTATAAAAGGATTTATTTTGGTTGTTATGGGGGAAACAGTAGGGAGTTGCTAATATTATTTTTAGTCTCATGCCACCATCCTTGCAATAATACAGGGGCTGTAATCCACAGTTAACAATCTTGCCTGATGCTTGAACCCTTCAGCACAGTTACAGATCAGCACTTCTTAGAAGCAACTAATTTATAAGTTTGCAAGAGCAGAAGAATGCGCTTTGTGAGTGGCACTACTGCCATTTTACTGTGTCTGACTGTCTCCGGGGCTGGCCTGAGGTTTTTTATTAAAAGGAAAAAGGTAAATAGCTATTGGGCACTTATCAGAAGATTCTGACCAATTCAAAGGGTGAGCAGCATGGAAACTCATTGCATGGAAACTCTGTAGAACACTTGGAAATAATTCTTAAATCTATAAATGTTTCTGGGTCTTCTGTTAGACACCAATCTCAGTAAGAAATGACATCAGAAGTAAAATATTTGACAATTTGCCATGTGAAATTACACATGAATTTTTAATATTTTCTACATAAACAGAATAAACCCCAGTGCTGTTACATTAAATGTTTTTTAAAAGTTGTTCATATCCTGTTTATAGGGCAGACACTGAAGTAGGCTGGAAAAGTAGTTTATGGTGTGCATGGACTGGGTAATTCTCAAAAATCTGCCTCATGCCGTGAGACTGCGATAAAGTAACTAGGAGGAGGCAGCTCATCCCGGGACACCCTTGAACAGAAGAAGAGAAGAGCTAACCGCACTCTGCAGTCTTAGATCCCAGAAGTCACCCTGAAGAAAGAATTAGCCAGGAAGTGTGGTTCTTGTCCCTACCTTATTAACAAAAGTAACAGGAAAGCATTTGGATATGTCAGATTGTTTCAGTTAACTTTGTACTTGGCTGAAAAGCCTAAATAACGATCATAATTAAGCTGAACATTTCCATTAGGAATCTAAATCTTCTTCAAGATTTGGAGTGAATTTTCTCCTTCCTTTGCAGAACCTACCAACTTCAAGCTTTGTTTTTCCTGTCCGGTTGTCAGGGAAATGTTATTTTCCAATATTTGCAAACATATAATTTTAAAAGGAGGTATATATATATATACATATATATACACCAAGATGGCAGAACCTGTTGTACTGAAGAGGGAGCATGGTTAGGGTCTCATTTATTTAGGCCTAACTAAATCTTTTTGCCCAGGCAAGTACTTTAATGGCCTGCTCCAGGTCTGGACAAAATAAGATCAGCAGACATCGTTTCTCTTATTTATTTATTTATTTTTAAACTTAGAGTTCACTATGTCACTTTATAGCTTATTTAACCAGTCACTGTATCACTGAGTTGGAGAGGTCTCAGAGTAAAAGTTATCTAGACAGAAGAAACAATCACAGTACATAACGGTAATGAACTTCTAACATACTAAATGTTAAAATATATGTGCTGTCAAGACCCAGAGAACAGGGATGAAATGAGGTTCACACAGTTGTTTGATGGAATATATTTCTGTTTTCCACCCTGTAGCCAGATTTTGATGACAAGAGAGTGGGACGGCCGAGATCGATGCTGAGATCCTATCGTCAGTTATCAATTATTTCGTTGTCTTCCATGAATTCAGACTGCAGTACTCCAAACAAAATTGCTTCTGAAAGGTTGGTTATGAATACAAGTAAGGAAGTGGGGTGTTTTAGCAAAACCTGTAGTAATGTAACTTGCTTTGCCTTATACGGTTTCTTAATTGCAGCCCTGGGAAACTTAAAGATTTTAAGTGTGAGAGAACAGTTAGAGGTGTATTGATTAACTTTTTCACCTACAAGTTGTTTTGATCACTTTACAAATTATCCTCTGGGCACACAGAATGTCTTCCCACAGAGCATAAAACTGGTCTTGCTGAGCTGTGCAGCTGAATCATGCACATACTTTTTAATTCTTATGATGCTAATTTGTTTGTAGAAAGCCTGGACCAGCATATTCACCATACTACTGAATTTACCAGTGTTTATGTTGTGAAAGAAGTTCAGACCCATGTTCAATAGGCTGATTACATCAGCAGAAAAGGGAGCAAAGCCAGCACTAACTTTTTTTTTTTTCTTTTCTTTTATTAAATTAAAAAGTAGCCCTCTTTTCAAACTATAGAAATTAGAGGAAGAGGGGAGGGGGACTTTTTTTTGATCACTTGGTATGTGTGTAGTTGTCCAACACAGTGTACTAAGCAGGAGGATGCATTTAAAAGCTTACACGCAACAGTAATACTCTGTCCCACTGTTTTGAACAACCAAAGTAGCATGTCTTGCTTTCAGCACCATCTTCACTGCACATAGACTTGCCATATGAGCCCTTACTCTGTTTAGTTTAGGAGTCCTTAAGCTAATGCAGAAATCTTGAAAAATGGATTTGGACTCATATTCATCTTCTACAATATTTGCAGCATTTTAAGACGACATCACACCTCCCAAAGTCATCTTATTTTTATCTAGAGCTGCCAGCTGAAGCACATCATACTCTTTTTGCCATCAGTTTGCCAGACTGCAAAGAAAGTCAACGGGAAGGCTGATCTGCATTTATATTTCATGGGGAAATGATATCAGAATACCACCAGTTTTTAAAATATTACTCAGCAACTTGTACTTTTATCTTTTGCTCCTGCAGCTTTGATTTGGAAGTAGTGCTACCAAAGCCAGTAAAAGCAGAATCAGAAGAGACTGCTCTGCAAATGAATCCTCACCCTGAAGTAAAGATGAGAAGGTCCAAAAAAAGAACAAAAAGAAGCAGTGTGGTGTTTGCTGATGAGAAGGCGGCACCTGATATTTCTCTCTCTGACACAAAAACTGTATGTTACTGATGTAGAATAGTATTTTAGAATCCATAAAAGACGTTTACCTTACTCCTTTGCTAAGGAAAAGAAAAATATATCACATAGTACTTCAGCTGTTGTAAAGGGAAATATGCAGGATACAGATATGATCTGCCCTGACACGAATGAAACCTGCAAGATGCTGAGGAGAAAACTAATCAATAGAAACATCAGAACACCTCTACTCGCCTAAGATGACAGATAATATGGCCATGAAGATGCAATTCCAGAAGCTTGGTTAGCCTGAAAGGGAGCGCTCTGTCGGGAGGGTTATGCTCCTGTGGGGAGAGGCAGTTGGCTGTGCTGACATTTCATGGCAGGTCCTTGCAGTCAGGGTGATTTCAAAAGTGATGAGCCCTGTATGTTTTGTACCTCGTGATGGAACATGCAGCTGTTAGGAAACTGCAAGATTGCAAAGAGTGTTCCTTAAACGGTGCCAGGCTGAATTTTGGAAGCACTGGCATCTATTGCTCCATAGATCATCTGAGTGCCTTTATTGCACTGCTAGATCATTAGAATGACTTATATAACTTACATTGTGCTTCCCCTCCTTCTCCCCCCCATAGTTTAATTCTCAGGAGGTTTTTCTTCCTTTAGTATAAAAAGAAATAATGAAAAAAAAAAATAGAAAGATACCTTCTTGGTACACAGGCCCTATCTAAATTAAAATGTCAGGTGATAACAGATTCTTGAATTGGAGAGATCAAAGTCATTTGATCAAAAAATTTTGAAGGGATCATCAAAGGCAAAGTGAATTCAGTAGAAAGTTAAAATTCTTTTGGGAAACAAGGAGAAACTTATGCAGGATTGTGATTGTCTTACACTACATGTCCTCATAGAAAAGAGAGATATAAGCACAGTTGTGCTCTGAGAAGCATTAATATACTAAAACAAGCAACACCTTTGTCTTTTGATTAATTGAGGTAACATATGCCCAACTGTGGGAATCTCACTACATATTGAATTACAGGATTTTCTATGGACAAATGTTCACAAAACTTCATTTTACTTTGCAGATCCCAGTCAGATCTGACTATTATTCCAAAGATATAGTAGGAATGCCATCCTACAGTTCCAGGTCACAGATCTCTTGTAGATAGCTTTTGTAGGGTAATCTTTTCTATGTGGAACGAGAAGTATTTGTCTAACTATAAATCATCAAAATTGCTACATGGTTTTACCTAGTGTGTAATATTCTATGTGGACCAAATTCTGCTGCTTCTTGTTGCTCTTGTTGTTTACTCAGCACCAATCTCATAAAGATCTAGGATTAGGCATGATAGGTTTTTGGTTTTATTTTAATGCTTAGTATCTTGCTTAGGTCTTTGTTGTTCATATCTCAGTCAATCATTAACAGTATAATTTTTTAAAATTTTTTTTTTTTTTAACAGCTGTCAAGGAAATATGAGTTCATGAGTGACACCAATCTCTCAGAACATGCAGTGGCACCTCAGAAAACATCTGTCCTAAAACAGATGAGTTCTGTCAGTCGTTCTATGCCAACTATCCCAGGTAAGATGCTTTCAGCAAGATGAGAATTCTGCACTTGTGTTAAGAAAACAGTAATAAAAGGTTTGCCCCAAGCACAGCAGGTAGCTCTTGCTTTGTGGCTTTGTGCTTCTGAGACAAAAATGACAGTTTCAGTGTGTATGTATCATGCATGTCATCTTTCCAGATGTCTGTCATGTGTAACAGATGTTTAGCACATCACAACAGACTGTTGTGGCCCGGTACTTTTTTGTGTATTTATCTATTTTTTCTTCTTTGAAAATATTAATTCTTATTGGATTCAGTTTCAACATAATGAAGTTTAGTAGTTCCCCATTTACAAATGGGGAAATTTTAGCTTATCTTTCTATTCTAAGGATATGGTCAGATTAAAGTGTCTCATTTCTTTCTAATAGTTGCAGTAGTGTGTTTTTTTGGTTTTGTTTTGTTGTTGGTTTGTTTGTTTGTTTTTGTAATTCTGTTTTATGTTGTGCTCTGACTCTCCTTTTTTTTTGCTTTTGATTTGTGCAACCAATGTTTCTCTTCTAAGGATTAACTCTGTCTGTCAGCACTGTGGCATCTGATGAAACGATTGCATCACATAGATTGAGTCAACCAGTGTTTCCTTCCACCTCAGATGGTGACAAGAAAACCTTCAAAAAAAAGAAAGTGAACCAGTTATTTAAAACAATGGTAAGTTCTGTCTGTTTATGGGGGAAATTTGGGGGGGGGGGG